ATTGAACGGCTTAATGTTGAAACATTATCTATGGAACGTATTCTTCGTTTAACAAATTATTCTAATTTACGTACACTTGGTTTATATGATGTTCAACCAGAAACAGTTAATTATCTTTTTTCTGGTAACGATATTTTATTCTATTCTTTCAATTATTAATTCTATAAGAATATATTTTATCTCAATATATTCTTTATATAATCAGACATTTGATTATTACACCCATACTTATACTATAAAATAGTTTTCTTTTTTAATATTAATTGAAAAATATCAATTTGACGAAACATTTAAAATAAAGAAATAAAGATATCAGCTAAAAGAAAATATAAATCTTGGTTTATAATATCTTTAATTAAAATTCTTTAGTTCTTATAAAATATAAAATTAAGATATGAATTATACAGATTATAATCTATTAGAGAATTTAAATGAAAATCATTTAAAATTGATTTATTGAGAACGAAAATAGAATAAAATATTTATAAGTTAATAAATGAAATAAAAATTTTAAAAAAATAATTAATAAAAATTTTAAATCTTTATTTAGATGGAAGTTATTTAATTCGTCATTATCGAAATTAAATTTTATCACTTCCCTGTTCTTGTGAAAGAACATGTTGAGCCAATACCAGCATCAACAACTATAATTACATTTACGCCAACACTTATGTTTAAAAAAATTTTTACAATGTTCGAAAATTTAAAATACGTAAAATTCAGTTCATCATCTGATAATCAGCAATTAGCATTTGATGATTCATCTTCAATTGTATTTTATTCGAATCTATTAAAATTAAATGTTACTGTAAATTCTATCAACGACTGTATTCTTTTACTTGATGATCATTTCAAGCAACTTCATACATTTTATGTAACAATTTCTTCTTCTAATTATGGTTTATCTTCAGAAGAAAATAATAAAGTAAATTTCTTATTTATATATCTTTTTTGAATAAATAAATAAGACTTACAAATATTTATTAATTTTTCTTGTGTTTTTATAGAAATTGATCAATTTAAAATACTTTTCATTTACTCAAAAATTGAACTTATTGTGCTGTAATGAAGTTCTTATTCCACTTTTACAAAGAATGTCAAATTTGGAAGAACTTTGTTTGAATTTTGTCAATAGTTATGGACCAATAATTGATAGTGGTAATTTGAAAGAAAATATTCTTAATCATATGAGAAAATTAAACAAATTTACATTTAATATACGTTCAATTAATGCTCTCACTGAACTAGGTCATTTACCATTAGATAAAGATATTCAAAGTACATTTTGGAATTTTAAAAATAAAGAAATTATTTCATATATTGATTATTTTGAAAAATCAGCATTATTTAATTATCATATTTATTCATATCCATATAGATGGACTTGCTATGATAATATAACGAATAATTTTCCTGGTGGAATATTTCGATGTGTTCGTGAAATATCATTATATGATGAACATCCATTTGAACATGTAATTTTTTCTCCGAATTGCTCAATCATTTCCATTCATCGAAAAATGACGTCTAAATAATCGTGAACCACAACAGAATCCTAATCCAGAAGCAGAATTCTTAATCGTAAGATATTCTCATCTTACTGAAATTGATCTTGTTGAAACCGATGAATGTTATGTCGAAGAATTTTTAAACAATATCAAAACATATTTATCAAATGATGTTTACCTTTCTGTGGATTATGATACTTTAGAAAAAAGCAACGGATGATTTTACAAAAGATGCAACTCGAATTAATTCGTCGAAAATCATTGGTCTTATAGTGTCAGATATTGAATCAAGATTTGTTCCAAAAGTAAAAGGTTATTTTCCTGGTACACGAATATGTTAATTCTTTTTATTATTTATTATTTAAATAGACTTTAAAGTAACAAGAAAAACAAATTTATTTTATTTTCTTCTTGTAATGGTTTTTTTTTATTTGTTCTTTTCTTTCGCTCTGTTCTTTTTTTGCTCGTATTATTTTTCATACTGTTAGGGCCAAACGGCCATCAGCTTAGTAAAATTAAAAAAAGCAAACAAACAAGAAACTTATTTTATATTTAATAGAAAAGAAATAAAACATATATTTGAAAACGATGAGATATGGTTTATCTAAGAAGGAAAAAAGCTGTATTGCAAGAAAGAAGAAAAATTTCTCAAAAAGATCTTTTAGACATTATTTATAAATTAGAACAATTAAAATTAAATGCTAAAACATCACAAGAAATTATTGAAATTTTAGAAAATAGTCAACAAAATCTTGAACATCTTCAATCTGAAGTAAAGATTTATTTAGGATTTTTAATTTATTCTGTTTTTTAGTCATAAAATAGTATTGTTGATGTAATTATATGATTATTATCAAATGATAAACGTTATGCATATTATCGGTTACCATAAAATAAAGTATTTTATTCATCAAATATTGATCGTTGTAGCCATCTTTATGCAAACAGTTCAAACAATAACAT